TGCTGTGAGCTGCCTGCCCTCAGAGCAGCCCCGATTTGACAATAATTCACATCAGAGAGCAAACCCAGCCCTGCAGCACAGCGAGAGCTGAGGAGCCCCGAGAACCCCAAATCAGGGCCCTTTGGAGCACATTTATTTCATTCATGTGTGGTGTTTTCAGTGCCTGTGTAAGGGGCTGGGGATGCAAAACCCCACAAAACCCCATCGTGAGAGGAGGAGGGCAGAGCTCCCGTCTCAGTGCTGCTTCTGTCTATAAACCTCTTTTGAAGACATAATCCAATTTCTGTGAACATTTATTAAACTGTGACTGCACAGTGCTCCCCACACGATCTCAGTTAAACCTGGACAGAGTCAATTCAAGAGGGAACAGTGCTTCAGCCACTCATCTCACATTAATCACAGAGGGTGTTCGAATTTTCCATGCAAGTTCTCGTAAAAGAATGACAAAAAGCCACACCCAGCAAAGTGAGCCAGGCAGTATTAATATATAATAAGTAGAACAGAGCTAGGCAGGAAAAAGCTTTCTCATCGTAGAAGAATTTTCAAACATTTTTCCTGCCTTGATTTTGGATAGACTCGGCATTTTCATAACTGAACATAAACTGGGGGGAAAAAAACAGTCAATCAGAAAGTTTTAATTTTGATGCTTGAAATACTGTGTTTTTATTTCAATCTCTATTCACTATTAATTAAATCCCAAGCTGAAAAATCATTCTAAATATTTTACTACAAAAAATACTAAAAGGAACAATATATTTTCCAAATATTTTACAGCCACTTTAATAGAAATTAATCCTTTCTCACATGTTTGGGATTTTCTATTCTTTTCCGCACACACAATAAAATTCCCCACCCAAAATATTTCATYAGAGATTATCAAACCGAAGCAGTTCCACCAATAAACTCCCCATTAAAATTCCTTTTAGAGGAGAGGAATGATGTGCCCTGTGGTTATGAGAAAACATCAATACAAACAAGACAGGGAGAGGTGTGTGTTGTAATTCTGTGCCATCCCCACCAGCTCAGCTCAGYGAGTTCCCAGCACAATCTCTGGGCTCGCTCAGCGATCTGAGAGCTGGGCAGGGATGCAGCAGCACTGACACACAACTGTTGCCATGGTGCTGCAGTTCCTGGGAAATGTGATGCAGCTCTTGAGTATTTCTTCTTTTTCAGCCAAAGACACATTTCTTTTCCCTGACTTGGAGAGCATCAATTACAGAAACAGAAGAGTTCTGTGTACTGGAGCAGCTTAAAAGCTCCAGATAATTCTGCAAAAGAGATCCTATCATCCCCCGAAGAAGCCATGTACAGCTGTTCTTTGCAGAATATTCCTGAAACAGGAACGCTCTGTGTGGCAAATGGAGCAGTTTGGAAGKGATTTCCTCATCAGGTACATTCATGTCCAAGAGGTATGGACCCTATTTCCTGATTTCCCCAGCAGACATCCTTTTCCCTGGCTACAGGTGGCTCACAATCTACCGAAGGACAAGGGGACATTCAGATTTAATGTCTCTCTGCAATAATTCCTGAGCAGTTCAAGGCTCTCTGTCACTGCTCTCACCCCCAGAGCTTCAGCAGATGTTCCCTGGAGAGGTTCCTGCTCATGCAGGCTCAGATTGACAGAGCTGGTGTCTCACAGGGGTGGTGACATCTGACTGTCACACAAACACAGGGGACACAGAGGGGCAAACGGGAGGAATGGGCAAAGCTCAGGGTCACAGAGTGGCCTGGGAGGGAGGGAGGGGACCTCACCCACACCATGGCAGGGACCCTCCCACTGTCCCAGGGTGCCCCAATGTCCAGCCYGGCCCTGGGCACTCAAAGGGATCCACAGCTKCTCTGKGCCAGGGCTTTTCTCCCTCCAGGGAACAATTCCTGCCCAATGTCTCATCTAAACTTGTCACMAGTACCTGGGCTGTCACAGCATCCAGTCCCATCAATTCCCTATAAATTCCAGTGCTCTGGTAAGGGCTGATTTCACCTTACCTCAGCTTGTCTGTTTGAAAGTTTGCACACTTCCTGCATGACGTGCAGTATAAAACAGTAATTTGGATGCTCCTGTAGTCAGCACAAAAACYCTAATCAAGCTGTAATGCTATTATTAAAGAAAACAGCATTAAAAAGTACCAAACAAAACACTGAGCAATCTGTGAAATAGTCCCACGAGCCTGATTCTCACACTTGTCCCAGTCTACATTAAATTATTCTTTTCTTCTGAAAGGTTTTGCTTCCTTGGGTTTATTTGGTCATTCTTCTGCTCTGCAGAGAGCTGAAAAGGCAGGAAACGAGCTCACAAAATCATGAGTGTTAGCAATCACCAGCACCGAGACACAGATGTTTCTTAGTTTCAGCTTTGACAAASTAAAATCCAAAATTCCTACCTCATCTAAAACTCCACCCTTTTAGGCTGAACCCTTTACCTTGCAAGTGTTGCTGAAAGCCTGGACAGGGAACTGTGGTTTTTTCAGCAGATCCGCCCATCAGGGGCATTGTCCTACCCTTGCTCTCCCTCTAAAAGAACTTATTACATTGCTCAACACTTTTATTTTGGAAATCCACATGCAAGCTGAGGGCCTGAGAAATTATCCTGGGAAGATACCAGCTCACACTCCAAATACGTATTTTCTTCTTTATGATGCTGTTCATAGCAAAAAAAAAAAAAAAAAAAAAAAAAAAAAAAAAAAAAAAAAAAAAAAAAACCCAAAAAAGAAGGAGTTACATCTCACCCCTCTGTTTAAAAACAACTGCACGGAGGATGAAAATATATTATTATAAGGGGATGGTACTTCTCATCTCTGGAGCAGCTGGGAAWGGTCAGTAGCTCAGATTCAAAGACTGATTCAGTGCCCTGCAAGAACAACTGTTGGTATCTAGAAGAGAGAATCTCCTCATTGATGTGAAGTGAATGAGTGACCATCCACAGAGCAGAGCAGCCCCATTAACATTTCCTCTCCTGCCCCTTTTTCCGATTATTCCCCTCTCAGGAGCTGACAGCAGCTCTTCTGCCTGGCAAGGAGTGTCCTTTTGGCCTTCTCCAAAGGAAGGGACATTTGGGGAAGGGAAGGACAGGGAGTGGGGCCGAACAGTTAAGGCTCAGCCAAATCTACTGAAGCTGCACCTTTAAAATGCAATCTGAATCCAATTAAGGAAAGGATGAATAATTAACTTTGGCAGCCTGAGTGTCTCAGAGACATTAAGATGCTGGCCTTGGCTGATGAAGCTAATGGTTTTAATTGCCTCCAGAAAGGCTGCTGAAATTCAGTTTCAGTCCAGAGAGACCTTTATTTATATATTAAATAAYAACAATACAAATCTCTGTTTTCCCTCAGCTTGCCAAGCACTTTGTTAGGTACATAACATCACTTTTTTTTTTTTTTAAATTAACATCTGTGTTGATTTCAGGAGGCTCAGTGTACTCCCTGAGACTACAGGAAGGATTTTGGTGGGGCTTTAGTGGCATTGCACAATCACCAGTCACAGAAAAGTCTAACTTGATGCACAAACTTCTTTTCTGAAGCCACAATGTATCAGATAAAGTGAATTTAAAGAAAAAAAGTCTCTGAGAGTCACGCTTCACAATGCAATCATCTTTATCAGCCATTTCCAGCAGAATTGTTTTTGAATTCCCATTCTCCATTAACTCCAGAGCTCCGAGCAATCTCCAGTAAAGTGCTGCAGAGGGGCTGCTCAGATTAAAGGCACATTTTCCTCCAACCAGCCCAGCCTGGTCTTGCTTATTTAAAACTTTGCACTGTGACAGGAAAAATACAGAATTTTCCAAATATCTCTGCCAAGACATTAATTAGTATTTTTAAATGCCCACATAATTTTTTTAAGGCGTTCTGGGCARCATGTCATCAAACAGTGGGGATTCTGCTCATTACAAATCTCACACAGCGAGTTCTCAGCTCAAATGAAGCCTGAAGGAAGCGTGGCAGGGAGGGAGGACTCAAGTTGTGAGATGGCATCAGAGTGTAATAAAGTTTGGGCACCAGAAAAGCAGATGTTTTCAAGTTCTTCTTGGTATCTGTTAGCACAGCACAAAGCAGGGTTTTCTCTGCCTTCATTTCAAGCCCAAGACTTGCAGTGTCCCAGGAAATGTTAAATGTTGTATTTACAGCAGATTATCCCCTGTGAAACTCAAGGAGCTGCTTTTGCCTGCACACCTAAGGCTTGTACATCTGTTCCCTTCCTCCTGTTCCAGCGAGAGCAGCCTCAGCCTGTTCCCCAATTAACAGCCAAAATTAAATCCATTGGAGAGAGCTACAAGAGGCTCAAACCTCTCAGGGGTCCAGGCTCTGACACAGGGAATGCAGCTCTGCTGGCAGACTCTGAGTCTGAGAYTTTCAGAGCAGTTGAGGATAATTAAATACCCAGCTCCCAGAAAATTCAATAAAAATTAGCACGTCTGCCTCCATTTTCCCAGGCTTGGGCTGATTCCCAAAGAATCCCATTTGGATTCRGGGCTGGGATCAGAGAGGCTCCTGCACAGCCCAGGGGCTCTGGAGACCCTGAGAAATTCGGGGGAAAAGGGCAGGGAAAGGGCCCTGCAGGAGACAGAGCCAGCCCAAG